GTAAATCTAACTAAGTGCGTGTTTTGTCCTTTGAGTGAGGTGCATTACTGTTGGTGGCGCTTAGCACTTTCCACGAGGGAGGGGGAAGGAGCAGGGAGCCACGCGCTCAGGGGAGAAGGTGGAGGCAGGGGCGGGGCCTCATGGAAGGGGTGGAGTGGGGGCGGGGCCAGGGGCAGCAAGGGGGGGTGTCAGTGATGCGGCCCTCGGGCAAATGAACTAGTCCTCATGTGGCCCTTGTGGTCATTTGAGTTTGAGACCCCTGTTCTATACCCACTTCAGGTATAGTTTAAACAATGGAGACATCTACTGCTTTTAGTTATGAACCTCCATTGTAAAGCACTTTGAGATCTACCGATGAAAAGCATTATATAGGAGTTAGGTGTTGCTTTTGTTAAAAAGAATAAGGCAATCAGTATAATATCCCTTGTATTATTTATTTTGATACTAAATGTAATCTGTTTTACCCTGCACTTGCAGTTTCAGTTTGCCACGGATTTTTGCATTGAGACTGTGTGAGAAATACATATTTAAGAACATAAGATCATAAGAATGGCCATACTGGGGCAGACCAAAGGTCCATCTAGCCCAGTATCCTGTCTTCCGACAGTGGCCACTGCCAGGTGCCTCAGAGGGAACGAACAGAACAGGTAATCATCAAGTGAACCATCCCCTGTTGCCCATTCCCAGCTTCTGGCAAACAGAGGTTAGGGACATCATCCCTGCCCATCCTGGCTAATAGCCATTGATGGACCTATCCTCCATTAATTTATCTAGTTCTTTTTTTGAACCCTGTTATAGTCTTGGCCTTCACAACATCCTCTGGCAAAGAGATCCATAGGTTGACTGTGCGTTCTGTGAAGAAATACTTCCTTTTGTTTGTTTCTATCAAAAGGATCAGCAGTGAAATAGTTTATGATGAAAATTTACAATCTTATGACAATTTGTCATTAGCACCTGATTGGGATTAATGGGTGGTATTTCAGGCTGGGTATTACTTGGCATTCATGTTTAGTGGGTTGTGTACTAGATTGCCATCACACTATCGGAGCAGAAATGGAGTAGGGGGGAAGGTCTGAAATCATGTCACCATTGAAGTCCATTGAAGTCCATGGGAGTTTTGCCACTGAAGTCAGTGCAGCCAGGATTTTACATGTGGGTGCATGTACACACGCAAAGCTATTGATAGCTAATGATAGCTTAGAGTTAAGATCACAGTGTTATGCTAAGGGGAAGATTTCGGTGGCCGTGGAATCCTGGAGTACAGAAGCCCTGCCTTCCATACCTTCTAAAACAAAGATACTGAATGGAGTAAGGGCAGTACTGGTACTGAGTATGTGGTCTATCATACATCCTGTACTACACTGACTGGTTCATTGTGGGCATGAAGCCAAGGTTCCATCTGTGTGGGAGGGGGGGAACATAGTGACTCAATACACACTGTTCTCCCTTCTGCACAGCTCTCGCTGGTACAGGTCATGTGCAGAGATTAAGGGGTGCCTCATCCCCAATGCCCCACATTCTCCTGTGAGGGCACATTGAACCTGGCCCTATGAAATGTCAGCAGTATGCAGTAATAACTCAGATAGGAATCACCTGACTTCACAAATTTCAGATTGTGCTTTAGTAATGACTAGAGGGAGATAACCTTTTATAAACGGATCTGAGCTAAAGCAAATGTAAGTGGATTAAGGCAGCTCCACATTAGAAGCACAAGGGCCCCATATGATCAGATTACAGCTCTGCACCAGAGATGACAAATTTAGCTTCTGAGCGATATCAGACGTTATCTGTTCTTCCTGGAAAGGTGTGGCTGCATTGAAACCTCTGATTTCTAAGATATGCAATAAAACGAGGCAAATCTGTATGTCTGTAGGTGTCAAACAGTTAATAGAAGCCCCCAAAATAGTTTCTGTTCATCTTATTTCCACTACATTCACTTTATGCGTGGCTGTTTATCAGCTCTGTGTTCCATTATGTTAGCTGAAATGGATTGATTTCTCTAAGATACAAAACTATACTAACAATAGTTCCTGAATTCAGCACTAAGAAGTGGTGAGATGGAAGACAGACTATACCTCTGTAAATCCAGCTGAAGAGTATATGGAGTGCCACTGCCACTTTAAATCTAACCATGGCCTGATTGATTCGTGGCCGATGTCAGTGGGAAAGCATGGCCTCTGAAAAAATGAAATTAATATTAGACCTTTCTCACAATAAACAATGCAATGTTGAGACCAGGTTCTAAGACAAAACAAAACTAATAACATGATAGGCCAGTATCAGAACCTCAAATACACAAATGTCATTAGTCCTGCTAGTTCCTGGATCTGTACACACTGCTATAGCTCTGGTCCTACCTCACTGTACCAGACGTACAGAAGGGCCTCAGGCTAGTTTCCACATCCACAGCAGCAAAAATTGAACGTGGGCCACAGTAGGATGAATCTTTAGATGCTGCTAAATACAGTGGACCAAACTCATGACTGGTGCAGTTCCATTGAAGTTAATAGAGGTGTGAATTTGGCGAGGCGTTGTTTAGAGCTGGGCAGAGGAGGCAATATTCAGAGATCTGAGTTCCAGGGCTAGGGTTTGCTAGAGAGGAAAGTATACAGAAGCTATAATGTGGAATCTTAGATCTTTAACGGTGAGTACCTAAAGTAGATATGGCCTGATTTTCAGAAGTGAGGACCACCCACAGCTCCTGTTTTTATCTGGCTCCTTTCTGTCAGTTAGAGAAAAGGAAAATGACTTGCTTTAAGGTGGAGCCCTTGGTTAATTTGCCTACTGGTTATGACTTTCTTTCTCATTTTTCTATTTCTTTTCTTTATTCTGCTTTGTTTTGAAGATAGACTTTGACTTCTTAAGAAAGATGTCACATCTACCGCAAATTCACTTGAGTACTTTCTACTTAGTACTTTCCTGTGACACTTTCTGGCACGTTCTGATGGTGAAGGGGATTTTTACTCCCAGTAATCTTCAGACACCCACATTCCCTTTGGTAGGGAGACAGTGATTTTTACCCCTCCTACTCCTGACCTATTGTGCAGGTGCCATCAGACTCTAGAAGATTTAGATTAAGCCTCTGAAGTGCCTAGTAATTTTGGGTGTCTCTTGGAACCCAACTTGAAACACCTTTAAAGTGGCCAAAGGGTGGGTACTCGGCACTTTCTCCAAATCAGGCCCCTTTAAAGTAGTCTCAAAGCTGAGCACCCAAATTCACTAGTCACTTTTGAAAATCTTGACCTTAAGCCCCACTGCAACCTGATTGCTCTAGATCAGTTTTCCCCAGACTGTGGGCATGCCTCCCTAGCGGGGCACAGAGGAACGTTCAGGGGGGTTGCGATGGGAACTGGACCAGCCCCTATGGGGAGTGGGAAGGGAGTGCCCCCTCAGCTCCAACCTGCCCCCAGTCTCTTCTCCAGCGCTCCAGCCCCACCCCCAATCAAGGTCCCGGTGTCGGGTCCTGGCCCCGGCCTTGGACCCTGGCTGCAGCTCCCACTTCTGGCTCTGGCCCCGCTCCTGGCTGCGGCTCTGCTCCTGGCTCCGCTCACAGCCGCAGGACCAGCCCTGGCCTCAGCTCCCAATCCTGGATCTGGCTCCCAGTGTGTGTGTGTGTGCGCGCGCGTGCGCGGACAGATTTCATTACGGATAAGGGGAGCATGACATAAAAAGTTTGGGGACCACTGCTCTAGATACATCTCTGCCAGCATTTGCAGGGACTTGGAATTTTGAGGCTTGTAAAGATCTAGAGGTTTGATGTCCAGTCCCATAGAGGAAGAAATAGACTGGGCCTGGAAATATATCAGTGTTCTGAAGAGAGAGGCAATTCACTATATACCCACATTCTTCTCATGAATTCATGACATGCATGGATTTTGGATTTTGGATAAACTTATTTTATTGGTAAAGGCCTCCTTATCCCCCCTTTTCAGGGGGTTGTCTGATAAGACAGCTGTCTCCCAATCCTGGGAAGGTCTTTTAAGGACGGGGGGGTGTTTGGAAGACTCTCTTCCCTTTATCAGGCAGCAGTGTGGCAGGAAACTTCTGCATTCATGGCTCCTGGCTGTAGAGTGAGGCTGGGAGTCGTCAGCAGCAGTAGTACATTGCTTTCTACCCCATTTGGATGATGGAAATGGGTGGCTTCCAGCTCCCTGGAAGACTTTTTGTAGGATGGCAAGAAACAAAGCTACCTCCTCTCTCCCGTCCCCTCATGCCAAGCACTGACGGGGCTAACTGCTGTTACTGTGAAGGTTCCCAGCAGGGAGGGAAGGGGACAGTCCCCCAAAGTCAAGACAAGAAGGAAGGGGGAATGGAGCTCTTCCATGGATGATTTCAGACATATGGGGAATACAGCAGCCTGTTAGGCGGTGGCAGCTGTGTCCTGGGAATGGATTGAAGGGTGAGGGTTGACATACCCCCAAAGCTTTTTGCAATCCTGGGTTGAATTTTGGGGGTTGTTGTAATCATTTTTACACAGCCCTAGTTTTCATATGTGTGCTTATATAACCCCCACACCTCTTGGGTGGGGTGTTCTGTCCCATCCAGTGATAGTGAGACCACTTAGAGAGAGAACTGAAATGAATCTGCTCTACAGCCTTAGCGAACAGTCAGTTGGCTTTTAGCTCATGCGGTAAAGGCTCATGCACTAAGCTCCGGAAGTCCCCGGTTTGATCCCGTGACAACCGGCGTCTGTTGGTGTTACATTTTCGTGAAGCACGTTCAATCTTAAACCCACAGATGAATCTGGGTTCACATTCATGCATTTATTTGACTGCCGTGTGCACTGTTGTGTCTGTCTAAATCAACACAGGCTTGCAAGTCATTTCTTGTCTAGACCCACTAATATCTCTTCTATAGTTCTGGTGTGGATCCATTCAACTGCACTGATAGGAACCAGTCCATAATTGTGTACCACTATGGACTACCATTTAAAAACTAACTATTTTAAAAAAACATAAAATGTTAGCTAAATTACAATAATTCTAAAATTAACTAATGGGTAAAGGGAGAGGATTAAAGGGTCAAAAAGACCAATGGATGGAGCATGGTTCTGAGACCGCACCACTTAATGGCAGTCGGAAAAGGACCTAAGGAGATTTAGTCTTGCATCAAACATCTGGAAGCATGCAATGGAATAAAAATGGCCACAAATATCACAACATTCCAGCTAGTAGCAAGCTCATGGAATCAAGGTGCATCTTCCCACAAGATCAGATCTGCAGAGGAAATATACTTGGAAAGCGCCAGTTACAGATGAATTAGAAGCAGTGCTAGAGACTTCAATGGGACTACTCACATGCATAAGATTATGCAAGGAGTAGTCAATTATTTTTTGTCAAGGTCCAAATTATTTTTTGGTCAAGGTACAGTCAAGGTCCAGACTCCAAAGAAACATTTTTCACACCACAATAATAAATAAATAAAAAGATTTCACAGTCTGTTCAATAGCATATGGCAATCCAGATTTGGCCAACGGTCCACCTATTGACTACTTCATCCAATGGGAGCTGTAACTGTTTTCCTAGGTCTCTTCCATCTCTAATGCGATTAGGTTGGTTTTACTTTCCCCTAACTTGTGCAGGATTAATCACTCTGGTATTTTTCTCTAGGGTGTCATCCAGTCTAGTTTTAAAAGTCCCAAGCAATAGGTTTTCCACTTTTCCCCTTGGGAGACTAGTTTATCACTCTCAGGAAGTCTTCTCTAATACCCACTCTCAATTTTCCCTTGCTGAACTCGATCCCTTTACACCTAGTTTTAATCCCTCCATACCAGCCTGTCCCTGGCCATTTTCTCTTTTATGAACCCGCAGCCCTCCAGAGAATGCCAGAAATCTACATGATGTTTCTCAGTGCTGGACTTTTACATTGAGATAAGACCCAAGTTAGATGTAACATGGGTAAAATCAGAGAATTCTCGATTGATAATGCCTCTGAAGGGGCTAGACTATGAAATATCTGGAGCTGGTGAAACTTGGCACAGCCATGCTTATTTTTGATAGGTATACAAGAATGACTGATGTGCAGGGCTGAAACCTCTTCTTGGGATACAGGTCTGTCTCATCTTACGCAGGGGTTCCGTTCCGCGGTTAGCGCGTAAAGCGAAAACCGTGGATAGCCAAAACCCCATTGAGTTTAATGGCGGGCGAAATCGCCCGCACTACAGGCATAGTACTAAAACTGTTGTTTTTCTCTTTTTTTGTTTTTGTTTTTTTGTTTTTGCCGACCGCGTAAAGTTGAAATCGCGCATGTTAAATGCGCGTAAGATGCGACAGACCTGTACCACATCCATTTTGCACATACTCATTAGCTACCCAAGCACAACTTTGAGGCGCATGAAAGTATGCTGCTGCAGCTGGCTCTCTGAGGGGAGCCAGCGGTGTTTCTATTTTGTTAGTCTATGCATTTGTGGATCTCAGTTCGAAACTGAGCTCTAGGAGATACAGGATTGGCACTAACTGAAGGTCAATGATAGCTCTACCCTTCTGTTTAAACTGGTACTTAAGGCTATAGAAAAATGATCAAAAGTAGATATTGCCAAATAATTTTTTTTAAATAATCCCAATGATCTGAAAAAAAAATATTTCCATTGGAAATGGTAATTCTTCAACTGCTGTACTTAGTGATCTAGAATACATTTCAAAAGGCTTTAGACTAATATTACATATCTAGAATGTCTAATGCATAACAAGTATCCTGGTTTTTCTCCTTGTATTGCCTTTGCCCCAGTGTCCTAAGACTTTCCTCTGTATTGGAGATGGCAAAAATACTTGGTAATCCCCTTCATCAACTTTCATACTCTCTCTCCTTATCTGATCTGGTACAAGAATTTTAACACCCTACCAACATCCTGCTACACTCCTGCAAGTTAAACGAAACAAATAAAAAACACACATGCTTTGAAAAAGTTCTTCTTTAAGAAGAACTTTCTAGCCTCCAGCTATAACATTTAGATCAGGATTTCAAACACCACCTGATTTGGGAGTTATTCAAATTTACGTTTTTATTCCAATTCATAGGGGCCACCTGCAAACTTTGGAATCAGATGCAGGCTTGGAATTTGAACATCCCGATAATTTAGAAGTATCTGGTGCTGGCGATTCAATCCCATCTCTACTAAGAACTCTGACTACTAAAAACCTCTTAGGTCCAGATTTGTAAAGGTATTAGGTGTTGTGGC